ACATACCAGTGCTAGACAAGCTTTGCGATCCACGTGACATTATGACACATTTATGGGGAAAAGGATTGAAGATTGGAGAAGAAAAGCAAACACGGGCAAAGAGTTGAAAAAGACTGCCATTATGATGAAAAAGGCAAAGGTCTTTGTGGCATGCATTAGTGCCAACAACGAATGCCGGATGGATTTCCAATATGCTAAAACTACCCTTGGCAAGAGAAATGTTGAGAAGCTTATTGGAGAGCTTGAGGCAGAATTGCATAGTGACCAGCTTGTATCAACCAACGAATATGAAGTGCAATATCAAAAGCGGGTGATCACGTTCTTTGTCACTATAATAGGGGCCAGTACTACTTTGCAACGATTACAGGTTTCAATGCCTCGACACTTGAATGCACAGTAAACTGGGACAACGGAGACTCAAAATAGAGAGTACACCTTTATAACTATGTTGCTTCAGATTTGTCTGACGAAGATGATATAGCAATTGATACTTTAGTACTTTTTATGCAAGGAAATCATGAAGGCAGTGAGTTAGAAAAGACAGGAGGAATGAGATACCATGAAGGTATTGTAACAGGATTGAAAATTATCGATGGGGTCTCAGTTGCTCAAGGGGTCACACAAAAGGATCAGATGATGGAAAATGTGTCACATATCCTGGCTATTCCTTTATCTTTGAAGATTGTCCGGTCAGTAAGGCCCTAGACGCACCGAACAAGATAGTTGATGATTCAACATATTCAAAAATTTTAAAAATTTAAAATTTCAGTATCTAAATACTGCTTTTTTTTCTCAGGAAATTTTATGTCGGATTGACTACTGCTATCAGAGACGTAACTTGGCCAATAGGTTTGGGGGGATGAAAAGGGTTTCTGCCCTGCAAAACTGAGTGGTGCCCTGCAGACCTCGTAGCAACGGTTTGTCTATAGGTTACTAGTGAAAGCTTTACCAGTGTACACTTGTCTTTACCAAGGACAAACTTCTAAGCAATAAAAACAAACTTGAAACTTTATTGCCTATGAAAAATCTATTTCTCTACGTGAGCGTAAATTAAATGTCAAATTTGAATTTCTTTTGTAATAAAGCTTGTATTTCATGGCATATAATTTTTGGTACATGATGTGGACGGCGCGACGAAATTTAGTTTAGTGAAGTAGGAGGACCCACCATGGTTGGGTCCGAGGTGAAGAAAATATTTGAAATTATACATTGTAAAAGGGATAAAAAGCATCTCCCAGACTAAAATTTAGCAGAATACTATACTGCTAAAAAACTGATTATTGTTTACTGGGAAATAGGGAGGGGGGATGTCATGCTAAATATCTAGTGATAGACGTTGTACCCTGGGTACCAGATTCACTCATAGAAAATAATAGAGTCTGGTATCCAGGTTATAGACGTTGGGGAAGGAAAGAAAAGGTAACCTTTCGTTTTAGATTGCACATAATTAAGAATGACAGACGAAGATGTTGTTTTGATTGGGAGAATTTTATTTCCTGAACAGAAATGTGCAGTTTCTTGTCTCGAGAAGGCCATGTTTAAACATCCAAAATGAACACATTGCAATGATATAGAAAGTGATTTACTGAATTAGTGCAAATAAAAGAAGAATAATAGAAATAGACATGAATAACTAAGTAATTAGATCGAACAAAATCGGCATCTACACAGTTTATTCTCTTTCTATTTCATACACTGTTAAAAAGTAATAGAAAAAATTATTAAAACAATTCTTATCTTGGGGCCTTCGGCCCTCTATTCCCCCCAGTGGCGCCGTACCTGTCATAAAATTAATTTACAACTTAAATTGATTTGTGTGGACTCAACATTGCCCTCATAAACATATGCATCAATCATTGCATCTATTGGCTATGACTTTCGGTATAAAAAGTTTTCACTCTGCTAAAAACGGAGCTCTTCCTGACATACCTGTTCCGTTCTCTAAAATGCAATGTCAGGAAGGGAGGTTCATAACAAATATGATATTTTATTTCAAAGTTCCTTAATGTTTCAAAATTCAAAAATTACGAACTTCAGAGGTGACGTTTCTGCCTAGCAATAAAGCTCTTCTTGGCGCTCGCGAAATCGACTATTTTTTAGATTGGGGGTTGGGTTACACCCACACATACAACCCGGTATTTTCGCCCCTGACTACTATAGTTAACTAAACCTAACTCGTGGTTTATTTTAAATCTGAAGTTGGGGAATGTATGGAAGATTCGAAATGATGTGATTGCACTTTTCAGCCATTTTAGGTATAACCAAATACTTTTTAGGTACAGTCATTTTAGGTTCCAGCCTTTGGCACCTCGAAATCTAAAAAGAGCACGGAAGAGCGAAAACATGTCATTCAAAGGTACTTTTCTTCGACACTTGTCTGAGTATATACATCGAATAATTTAAAAAAGTGGGCAGAAAATTTATGTCCAGATGTGGATCGAAAGTAACTTGAGAGGAATTGTGCGTTTGATTAGTTCTTTGTTTTTAAAGAATACGAGAGAGAAAACGAACTCTTTCTGTCTACACAAGCCAGGATTCTTGGTTTTGATGCAGAAATATTCCAAAATGACCTTACTTGTCCAATGAGCTTGAAATTGTCGTCACCATATGTTTCTACTTATACCCGAATTCCCTATTTTCATTTCACAGCACAATAAAAACTAAGCAATGCAGTAATAGTTTGAAATCTTTTAGAGTTCAAAATGGATGACGTCACAAAATTATACTTTAAGAATTTTACAATTTTGTCCATACAACTTTAAAAAGCATCATGAAATTCCCTTAAATGTGCCAAATAAGTAATCCATTTGCAAACTTGAAAGCTCTCGTTGACCAAATTTGAGAAATTCTGAAAATAGATTTTTGATGACGTCACACTACGGGACTCCCAAATTTCAATCAGGGTACTCTGCTCCGTCTTCAATGCAGGCTTCCCTTTGTGAACAAGGACAATTAGACACACAAAAAAACCGGCACAGCTCATTTGTTTATTAGAATCAACTTTCAAACTGCTCTTTTATCGCCATTGATTCTGCATTGTCCCTGAATGTTCGAGTCACAAAGCTTTTGAACAAATCTTCTGTTCATAACTGCCTATGCCTGAGCTGCCACGGCAAGGGTTGTGTATGGCTTTCTTCTTGGAATTCCGTAGCTCTACAGAGCGAAAGCAAAATGTTGAATATATTTAGCTTTGGACTATTCTTGGTCTTCGGCTTCTCTTTTCAGGTTTCAGGTATGTCACCCTACACAAAGTTACCTTTGGATTAACAAATAGCTTTGCATATAATTGGGAATACCATGTTCTGCTATTTTGAATAGCAACACCACACACTGATCAAATGTAAAACTATTACCTTGTTAGGTTGTACAACGTTTTATAACTGCGTTTCAGTTGTAAGAAACTTTTAAGTGTGCTTTTCAAAAAACTCTTGAATTTGCGAATGCTGATGGGAGTGTAAAGCTTGGATTGCTTGCAAAGCTTTAATCGCGTATTACTTACTTTCAAGCTTCAAGTCCCAAATAAAAAAGCATTGTTAGGATGGTTCTTCTATTTTTAGTAGAAAATATTAATTACATCTAAGGTGAAAAGGAGTTTAAAGCAGTTTTTTCGATTCATCTTACAGGTAAACATTCAGAGACGGTTTTGCTATTCAAAATTTGTATAATTAGCAAAGAACTATTCTTCTTTATATTTCCGCTTGGTCTTAATATTTTGAACTCCAGTTGTACTACAGGTTAGAATTAGCCTTAAAGGACTGACAAGAATTAACCTAAAATTTTTCTTGCGAAAGTCCCCCTTTCATGGCACAGAGCCTACCCTGGGCACCATACCTGGTACTCAGGGTAAAAACCTAGTTCCATGAAGTGCTTCTTGTTTATCTTATCCAAAGATGCCTTTATCAAGGCCTTCAACGACAAGGGGCCGCCCCCTTCTTTTTTCAAAACACATCCCTGCAAAATCTTTCGCCTTAATTTGCCCTTGAGTAAGAGCCTTTGTTTATTGCGTAATGGGCCTCTGTTTATACACCAGCAAAACGGTTGAATGTGACGTTTTTGTGTTTTGAATAGGCATGAATCATTTATTCTACTTGGTAGAAGGAGTCTCAGGAGAAGGTAGTTTTGTGAAGCACGTGACCGCTAGCTGCAAAAAGCCCACGTAGAAATCCCCCAGCACCCGGCAAGGAATGGTTCATGGATTGCAGCTAAAACAAGTCTTGTAAATAACTCGCCATCCGTCGACCAAAATTTAGTTCTGTAACAGTAAGGCCAACTAGTGCGGTGCACTTGCTGGTGAACATCGAGAAGGGAATAGACAGAAGGACAGATTTCAAAGGGCAGAGACTCAATGGGGTAACGCACGGTGTGCACCTTTAAAAACAAAACTAAGGGCCCCCAAACATTTAGGCCACGAGAAATTTCTCGAAAAACGGTTGAAAGCATATGTTTCTAAATAGCACTCACAGCATCATTAAAATGAGCGTGAGACTGGGTAGAATTTGTGAATGTGAGAAACCATATAATAATGATGCAAGAAATTGCATGTCAATTAGGTTTCATGTACATCTATGTCTGTTATAAAATTTTGTTTTGAATTTACGAGAATATTGCAGATATTAAAAATTTGATTGATTTTCTAAATGAAGCAGTTTGAAATTGTATATTTATCTAGTCTAGACATTTGTGAACAAACTTTCACAGAATTACGGAAATTGCATTGATTACGTTTCGTCTTCTATAACCTATAATATTCTTCATTAGTCATAAGGACCACAGGAGACAGCAAGTTTACAGTTATGTTGGCATTTATTACAGCAGAGAAGACGATTCATTCGAATTTTGACAGTTTCTATCAAATTCACATTAAACCAGCTTTAACTAAATCA